ATCGGCTCAATAATTCAAATCTGTAGATAATAACACTAAAAATTTTAAAAAATTAATCTTCTTTGCATCAATTTTCACAATTTTCCCGGTCATATGGAAAAATGTGGGCTTAAAAATGATCAGCTTATGGCATCAACAAGACCGATAATGATAATAATAATGATTATGGAGATGAAATTTTTAGCCCACAAATAAAAAAAATTGAAAATTTTGTTAATGTAAGCAGGTATCAGGAAGTCCCAGTACAATGTGTATTGTGTCTATACAATGGCGATATACTTTATTGTAATCAAAGGCCTTTTCTTTGCACTTCTTAATAACTAAAGACTGCATACTACATACTCTTTCTTGCCGTTATTCTTTGGAACATACATATGCGTTGCCTTATTATTTTAGGGATGCCCTATAGATTATCTTAAAGCTAGATTTAGATATTAACGTCTTATAGTAAGTAATTACATATATGCATACATATTATATTTACAAGCTTTTTTATTTTTGTTTGAGCTTAGGTTAAGAAAAAGTTGACTTAGTTGTTGCGAAAGAGATTTAAAATCAGTTCTATATATCACTAAACGTTTTATTTTTGATTATGCAGATGAGAGCTTTGTTACCAAGATTTTTTGAAGAAGTTTAATTTAAACTAATCTTTCTCAACAATAGTTTAGGTAAATTATTAGTTTTCAGTATCGACTCTTCTCTTAAGTTTAATCCGTAGTAGGATCCTAAGCCAAATAGTTGCTTTGATAAATAAATAAATTTGTTCACTACACAATAATAGCAAACAATTCGAGAAAGGACTATAAGTATGTAGTTTTTACAAAATTGAATAAATAAATAAATTTGTTCACTACACAATAATAGCAAACAATTCGAGAAAGGATTATAAGTAGTTTTTACTAAATTGAACCTCGCGTGTTGCAGCTTAGCCTCGACTTGGCCACCAAGCGCCTCCTCCTCTGCCTGCTCCAACTCCTACAGCGCGTTGTCTGAAAGCGGGTCGTTACGTTGACAACCGACAATAGTGTTTGTTATTGTTGTCGTTTGCTGGTGTTCTTGTTGTTGTTGTTGTTTTTGGTGTCGCTGATACCAGTATTGGTGGCAAGTGTGACCCACATTTGAGGCGCGCGCCTCTCACATTTCTTGTTTTCATTTTTTTTTTTTTTACTGCAAACATTGTCGCCAACCCCCCTTTGGAAATTGTCGGCATGCTTTGGCTTTATATTGAAAATTGAAAACAATTTGCTTGGCTTGCTGTATGTGAATGGATGAGTGTGTTTGTGTTTGTGCTAGCTTGCAATGCTAATGCCACGCCCATGCCAGCCGCCCTGCGCTCTATTGATGGGCTTAATTCACAAAGTTTCGTTTTATTTAACATTCTTCAATTTTATTTTCACATGTGCAGATACAAATTGTTGCGCTTGTGGACTCGCTCCTCCCACTTCCCCTTTCTGTATCCAGCCCCCTTACAATGCCTTGTCCAGTGCCATTTGGTAGTTAATTTTTTTGCACTCCATCATGGATTCCGTTTGTGGTTGGCATTTGGCGTCGGCTTTAAGTGGCTTTAAGTGGATTAATTTAAATCATTTGTTTGTTGTTTATGTATTTCATGTTGTTGCTCGGTTGTTCTTGTTGCCGTTGCTGACATTGTTGTTGGTGCCACTCATTCACACAGAATGTTGTGCTTGTGTGTGTGTGTGTGTGTGCGTGTGTGTTTGTGTGTCAATTTGCGGTGGCTTGCATTTGATAAATGAGTTTTCGCGTGTGTCATAGCACGCTTTTGTGCGCGCGGCTTTTGTCGCCCACGAATCGCGCGCGAGCTTAGCAATGTCGTTTTTACAGATGAACGATTTTTAAATCATTTCATTGATGGCGTAATAATTTCTATTCCCTCTTGCTCCTACATAAAAGATAATGGCGGCTGTGTCTTTTTTTTTTTTTTTCGTATTCTTCGCTGATTTCTTTTGATCTCGGTGGAGGGAGAATGAATCGCGAGAATATTACTAATTTAGGGTGGATAATACTTTAAATGTATTTAAGCGCTGTTGATTTTTATTAAAGCTTCAGCCGCATTGCTCAATTGCCGAAAAGTTTATAGCGTTACGATAAGGGACATTTTTATGTGGCAATGTAGACTTTTCCAGCGCATTGTATGTACTTTCTTTCTAACTCTTCGCATAAGTCCGGCGACTGGAACTTGTGTCCTATCCATAACTATCATATAAAACTAACAAACAGTCTACCCACATCAACTAAAGAAATGTAGTTCAATGTATTAATACTATACTATGTGGGATTGAAAATAAATTTGCGCCTGCCTAGAATGTCATATCAGTGGTGGGCGGTTTTATTTCTAGTGCGTCTATAGACAGGATTATTCATTATAGAACAAATATAATCAACTGCATGTCAAATATACAATTGGCCTACGAATAACAGGAATAAATTGTTTGGTTAATAAAGTTGTTATAACGTCCGGTACTTTACTGTTCACAGAAATGTCAACAATGAACATAAATTGAAATAATCTAATCTAATAATTAATAAAAAGCGAGACAAAAAAGTTATTCAAATCGTAGATAACTGGCAAAAAAAAAGATATCTTGTTCTAATTGTAATTAATTTTAAAAGCAAGTTGCTTTTAAAAATCGTATTAAACCACTACTTAATAGAACTCTTTGTATGAATTGTAAATAATTATGTGTTAACATGAGGTTTTCAAAATACGGAAAAAGCCTGCAATTTAAGTCGAATAGGCAATCGGAAAGTAATTTCTTCCAACAGCTCCCGGATATTGCATCAAATAATATTCTGAATAAACAAAACCATTATTTCACTTCAAATAAAAACGCACGAAATACCCATATATGTATTTTCCCAATAATTTAATATGCCATTCGACTTTTTGGTGCATCCGGCTTTAATTTACTTATTCGTATATGAACATTTAATTGAATATTAATTGATTGCTTTCTTAGCATCGTTTTCAGCTTAGCACGAAACAACTTGTATAACTATATTTAAGCAGTTGGGGTGAGATGGACTCTTTAAAACATAAATGACGTTTATAGACGATTAACAATTAATAAGTTTTCTGCTCGTTATGTGCAAAAAGTTTTAAATTTACAAACTATTTGAAGCAAACGAAGTTTACAAATTTTAGTTTACAATGCACGGCTTTAGACTTTATGGCGAGAGTAATAAAAAAAAACTTTAGTCGTTTATAAACAGAAATATTGCAAAGTGCAAAGTTCAAAGAAAACGTTCCCCATCCTTGGCCATTTGGTTAAGAGAGTCAGTCTCGTTGCCTTTTTGTTTTGGTCCGGACAAAGAAAATTATTCATGTAAAGCAGGCCTAAGCCGTATACATGAATAATTGCTACAATCTGCTCTCCTTTTACAAATTACAAGTCCCTCCAAGTGGGATATCCTTTATCGTTCCACAATATGTTTATTTTTATTTTATTTTGCCGGTTAATTCTTTAGCTCGCTCTTAGCTCTCAACCACTTCAACGCATTGCGCATAAATATCTAAGCACTGCTAGGCTTCTAATTAGCGCAGCGCAATGTGATTTCAAATTGGAACAGCACTGAGCCAATTCCTTTCCGTGCAGGCAATTAGCATAATAACGCGTGCAGAGCAAGAAAATATGCAAATCCCGTCCAATTCAAATCCAACATAAATAAAAGAAAGCGGCTCAGACCAAATGCAAAACAAAAATAGGCTTTAAGTCTATACGAAAAAAAAAGCGGGGACAACTTTAAGCCTTTAAATTGAAGTGACAACGACGACCCAAAAAAATGCAATTAAAATGGCTGGAGAGGAAAAATGGAATGGCTAATAAACAATGGCGAAACGTTGCCAAAACGGGTTACAAATTGGCAGCAGATTAGCCCAAAACAGTTGGCCATTTTGTGGGCAGAGCCCGCAACTACAACAACAAATTGCAACAATTGCGAAATTTGCGACAAGCGGAAATAGCCGGAAGCAGACAGCGGCTGGCACAGACCGTTTCCGCTTGGCTGCCGCGGTCCAATTCAGGGGGCGTGCAGACAGAGAGAGAGAGAGAGACCGGCAAAAAGGGGAGTAGTTGAGTGGTTTTATTCGGCGTATTGCCAAAGAACCAAAATGCAGACTAACTTATGCCTTTCACAGATTTTTAGTCGATGTGTCAGAAGTGTTGCCTAATTTTGGGATGAACTTAAAGCCAAAGAATTCCTACCTTAAGCGGTAGAAGTCGAGAAGTTTCTCGTTCCTATATTCGTATCAAGTGGCTTTTCATATGCTCGTTCCACCTTACGATTTTACTTTACCTGAGCTAAGAACATTCGTTTGCCCTGCTGGCCGCTTCACTTGCTGCGTAATCAATAAGTGGCCCATAAATTATGGTGCTGTCAGTAGGAATTGCGGACGTAAATAAAAAAAAATGGCCCTTGCCAAAGTCAGCATATACATACTTCCACTCACACAAATACTTATACATATACATACATATGTATTTAAACATGTATGCATATACATATATACTAGGGATAACACAGACATGCGATTACGATTCATGTGAGTAGCTTTGTTTAGCTGAACACCCACATCACATGCCCTTAGGGGCGTGTTGGCTGGCGTCTGATTGAAAAAAAAAAGTTATTCTTGCTTCTCTGCTTGTTATTGCTATTATTGTGTTTCTTGCAATTTTTGAAAGTTCGGACAATTGAACTTTTATTGTTCGACAATAATGGACAAGTTTGTGCATTTTCCGTTTCTAAATAAGCTGATGAAGATATTCAATATCGTTCATTGTTGCCACATTTCGGTTCTTTTGACTTCACCGTTGCTTGCAACAGTTTGCTGAATTCTTTAAGTAATATCTTTAGCCAAGCATTTGAGATCTTTTTCCGTTTTTATTTTTGTCTCTGTTTAATGATTTAAAACTTTAAAATATGTTTTGTATTCACTCTTTAATAATTACGTCCGAATAAAAATAAAAAGTTCAGCTCCTTACCAGCTTTTTTTTACATTTGCGCCTGCAAAGAGAGTTTTCAACTCTCGCATTAGTATTACTATAATGTCCAATAATTGCCGGCAAATTTTTCTGTAATAGAAAACAATGAGACATGAGTTCGAGTTTAAAATATTTAAAATACATATATATAAATAACAAATTCGGTTGCCCTAGCTTTTATACTTGATGAATATGAATTAGCTATATCCGATTGTCTATTTAAACTGATCAGGAATATATACTTTGAGGGATCTGCCCTGTCTTCTTCAATGTGTTATTTACATTCTCCATAAAACAATAGACCCTTTTACCCTTCAGGTAGAGGGTATATTTGTATTTTCTAGAATTCGTATATGCTGCTTCTTCTTATAAAGAAATCATTTTTTGAGAGCGGTGGATTTGCGTTAAGTACTAGTGATATTAATTTGCTATTTTAAAAACTATATGTTCAAGTTAATTGTAGTTTTATCTGCAGCTAAAAATCATTGCATTTTTTCAGAGTAATGCTCATTCACTGACATATATTTCTCTTTATTCAGTAGTCCTTTACGTTGACCTTTATTATTTTTTAATTTAATGTTTAATTTCACAATTTGTATTGAGAAAATGAATTTTCTTTTTCGTAAATCACGGCAGGGAAAATGAAAGAACAAATGAACTAATTACTTAAACCGATTATAAACGAAATAAGCTCTGGATAAGTTGAATAGTTCATCAATGAAAAGAGAAAGTGAATAAAATGAAGTCAAAGCACAGAAAAACTGAACTTTTTCAATAAATGGAATAATATTCACAATATAATTTAATGGGATTGAATTAAGATAATGCCAGGAAATTCTATTAGTTGAATAATAGATACTTTATATAGTTTTCCTTGTAAAATTTCCTTTCCATTGCAGCTGCTTATAATGTAATTAAATTTCACTTTTCTTTCCCTAAAGGTCTGTGAGTGATTAGTTGAATCAATTTATTTTCAATTGATTGTTGTTAGTATTTGAATATTTACATCGAATTGAATTCTTCTTTGCAAATGTCAAGATTCTCGGTTTAATTTAATTGTAGCTGCATTTGATTCTGTTGAATTTCTCGTATATTGTCACTTTTAAATCAATTTTCATTTCAAATTTACTTTTATTTATTTACCTTCACACACTTGGCCCGCCTTTGCCGCCGCCTCCACGTCCACATCCCCTTACACAGAGATACCAACACGCAAGCACAAGCCCACTCATATCAAGCATACGTCCCGTATACCGCTTGCTTGCCTATTTAACAACAACAATCTACTACTTTTACCTTTCCTTATCTATGCCGCGCACATCACGTGGAGAGGCAGCAAACAAACGATAGCAAAAAAAATAAAAAATTATAATTTTATATTTTTTGTTGTGTTCCTTCTTCTTTTTTTGCCAATATTTTAGAATTTATACGCAGCACGTCGTCTTATCGACGTTGATTTTTAGTTGTTGCTATTTGGCTCTTTGGCTAGATATTACTGCTGCTGCTTTTGTTGTTGTTGTTGTTGTCGTCGCTTCATCTTTTTGTTATGACTTGCTGCTCATTTTCATTTACATTTGTACATTGCATATTTGGCATGCCTGTGACACAAGTCAAATAAATTGCAATTCAAAAAGCAGCGGCACGACACGCGGCGTATACGTAATAGTAAAAATAGTAGCGTCTGCAGTCGTCTTGAAGAGTGCGCGCGCTTGACAATTGTTGTATCGGCGAAATAATTGCGACGTGAAATATCTCGCGCACGTACTATATGTACGTATACGAGTATAATAATGCCCGACAAACAATCAAATTGTGAAGCTAAAGCGCACACGCCGCTCTTCGTCGCTGGCGCTGCAGCAACGGAACTGAAACTGAACTGAACGCACACTAAAAACCGTTGAAATATGGCCAAGCACCAAAGCCGTGGCCAAAATGCCGCAGCGTCGTCGACGGTGGCGGCGACGGCGACAGCGGCAGCGGCGTCATCATCATCGTCGTCGTCTTCGTCGCCTGCACCCAAAACATTCGCCGCTGCCAATAAGCGCAGATAGGCAGGCTTGCCAAAGCAAGGGGTGGCCGGCTATGAATGAGTGACTGACAAGTGGGCGGCAAGTGTGTGAGAGAGCAAAAGGGCGAGAGCACACAAGTAATGGCGATACGAAGCAACGCGAACGAAAACGAACGCAAAACATCGCTAAACCGTTGCTATGTTCTATGTTTTTACAAAGTGCCGTTAGTTCTCTCTCAATGCCACCCCACATTGATTCTAAAGGCATTAATTAAGTGATATGAGTTAACTTTTAATCTTCTTTTTACATATTAGGGAATAAACATTACTATTTGGTAATTAATTATTAATTTTATTTATTAATCAACAAATGAGGGCTGTTGATACAGATTTTAATTAATATACAGTATTCATTTTGCTACAGATTTTTAAAAATTTGTGCGCAATGTCTGTGGCATAAAATTCGCTTTTTGGCCTTAGTACACATAGAACTAAGACTAATTTAAATCGTGTGTTCAAGGTTAGCAAAATAAAATTGTGCAATAAGTCGAACCGATTACTTTTCACATAGGACAGTTACAAACCATGCTAACAGTAAATAAGAATAAGGATAGCATCATATAACAGACGCATTTTTTGTGTTCAAAAAAAAGAGGGATAAGTAATATTAATTAAATATTATAAATAATATTAATAGAACACTTAATCAGTCTTTTTCAGAGACCAAATTTTAACTTGAAACTAGTTTATAACATTGTTGGCACCTGTAGATATGATAATAAGGCAATGAAATTCAATAATTCGTTTGTCCTATGAACCTACATATGCATAAGAATATTATGCATTAAACGTTCGCACCGGAAATAATCTTGTAGGTACGCATGTCTCAAAATATTTGGCACAATAGTTATATTGTGATGACCACGGTGACTACTGCAGAATGCACTGATTGATAATATGTATTGTATAGAAAGCCGGCAAAGAGAGCAATTTAATGCTGCTCTGCCTCTCACTCTCTTTTGCTTGCTCTCTGTATCTTTCTCTTGCTCTCTCTCTCGTGCAGAGATAGATAGATGAACAGCTGCTTAATGTTTATTTGTTTGTTTGCGTGTTTGCTGGCGACGGCATCGAAGCAGCCCGTTCATTTTGTCGTTGTTGTTGTTGCTGCTGCTGCTTCTGCTGCTGCGTCTCTGTCTGAACTTCAGCCTCAGCCTTAACTTCGTCTCTGGCTGTCACTGTTTTCACCTTACAGGCTAGTTCCCCCAGCAACTTGGCACGAGGACGTCCCTTTACTGCTGCCACATCAACTTTTATAGCCTTAAAATTGTTTCCGAAATGTTCTGCCGTTTGCCGTTACAGATGCCGTCGGCGTTTGCGTTGCACAATCATGCCTCCCGCCCTGTTTCCTGCCCGCACGGCTTTATCAATCGCTTGTTGTGCTCGCAACTATTATTGTTGTTTTGTTTACCACCCCGCCCACCCCTTAAAAGTCTTACTTTCGTGATTTGGCCATGCGCTTAAAGATTTGCTCCATTTCATATGGCTGCGCATGATATTGTTTTTTTGTTTTTGGCCATTGCCTTGACTGTAATTTTTGTTGCTCTTGCCATCATTATGCTTGTTATTGTTGCTTTTGTCTTTCACTTTACACCATCCCTGAAGTATTTTCGTTTTTGCACTTTTTCATCCTTTATCTGCGGTATTCTACTTACTGTTGTCGCTAGTAAGTTTGCCAACAAGTTTTCGGTTGCAGTTGGGTGGCAAACAAGTTGAGTTTCTCTGGGGATAGCATCTCTCCCTCCCCCTCCTCCCACCGACAACACACACAGATACACACACTTGACTACTTGTATTTGCAGGTCCAGAGGACGTAGCTTGCATTGTTTATTTACATTTTGCTTTGTGCGCTATTTATTTGCGTTACTTTTGTTGTAGCCGCCCGAATACTGATGCCGCGCTGGAAGTGAAAAGCGCAAGCAGCGGAAATTTGCTCGCTCCAATGGCTGCTTTGGCGCTTTATTGTTGTTGCTGCAGCTGTTGCTTTTGTTGTTATTGTATCTTTTGTTTTGGCGTATTGCGATTTTTACGAGGTGGCGAAAACCACTTTGTTAAACAAACATGTTTTTCATGAATTTTATTTTGCAAAATGCCATACGAACGACAGCGAAGGGCGTTGGTGGTTCAATGATTTTTTATCGTGAGGGGTTTTCCCTTCCCAACAGTATTTTTTTTAATTATTTGATAATGATAAGCAATATTGGGCAATATATATAAAGGTTTATTGCCCATAAAGTGTTTGTTATGTGCGTTGACAATGGGCTCTCGTTTGTTATACTCTGGTTATATTCTGGATGCGTTTGCGGACGTCGGGGCTTGGGGGCTTTAAGATATTGGTTAGTGAAGTGCTGCGATAATTTGAAAAGCGAATTATGGACTTACTTCGTGTCGTAATATTAACAAAAAATTAAAACAATAATCGTTAAGCATTATTTACTGTATCCAGCAAATTTGCCTAGCTCCCTTTTCAAATTTTTCTTTAAACTGTAATGTTTTATTGTTAAATGTTTCAAAATTACTTGAATCGAGCTCATAAGTCTTCATTTTGAATGCCTATTCCATGAAATGTATGTACCAATTTCTTATGTTCGTTTCCGAAACGTAAATAATTTAATAAATTTATGAGGTCTTAGGTCGTGGTTTTACAATTCAATAAAGCGTTGAACCATTCCAATACCCCAGTGAGTGTGCGTCAATAAAAGTCATTGATTGACACATCGATTTCTCGTTCAAGCTATAAACAATTATTTATTACTGGCCGCCAAAACTGAGCTTTGTTTGCTTGCAGCATTAAGCTAAAAAGAAAGGCAGCTGTTACTGACGTTTAATCAGCACCTTAGCAGCGTCATTAAACTCCCATTAATTAAAACTGAGTGTGTAATAATATAACAAACGGATGATTGACACAAAATTATAAACTGAAGTTGATTCAAACTTTTAAGAAAACTTTGAGCATTTTTTCTGCTGCTTACTACTTACACAGCGATAGCTGACTTGGTAAGTTTTCATTTCGCTGCGCAATCTT